ACTTGCTTTCAGAACATCAACTACACACACCTCCGATAATACGATATTACATCCAATACAAAGCAGACATTCCTTAAAACTGTCCAAAATGGTCCGCCACAAAAAAGATTTCACCTCCAAGGGTAGAAAAGGAGGCCCAAACCCGCGTCGAGGACCCCGCCGTGATGATGATGATGATGGTGATGGTTCTTCGCGCCCAGCTTTTAAAGCCGCCTGCTGGGATCTCGGCCATTGTGATCCCAAGCGCTGTTCCGGAAAGAAGCTCATGAAACTTGGAATGATGCGCGACCTGCATCTCGGCCAACGCCATAACGGAGTCATTATCACACCCAATGGCAAACATACCGTCTCCCCTGCCGATCGCGAGCTCATGGACCAGTACGGCGCTGCTGTTGTAGAATGCTCTTGGGCGAGGACGCAGGAGGTTCAGTGGAACAAAGTTGGTGGAAAGTGTGAGCGGTTGTTGCCGTACCTTGTCGCAGCGAATACGGTCAACTATGGCAAGCCCTGGCGCCTGAACTGTGTTGAGGCGCTGGCTGCAGCTTTCTACATTTGTGGTCACCCAGACTGGGCGGAGCAGATTCTTGCACCGTTTTCATACGGCCCATCCTTCCTCGAGATTAACCACAGCTTACTGAAGCGATATGCAGCATGTGCTGATGAGGCGGAGATCAAGAAGACTGAAGAAGAGTGGATGGAGCAACTGGAGAAGGAATACGCAGAGAGTCGAGAGGAAGGAAACGACGATATGTGGACCAGCGGAAATACCAATCGAAGACGTATTCAATCTTCCGACGACGACGACGACGAAGAGGATGACAGTGACGAAGAGGAAGAGGGAAGCGTGGACGGTATATATCTTGGCAAGAAGGCCCCTAAAGCTCAGCCAGAAGAGGAGGAGGAGGAAAAGGATCGCTACGCAATATCTGACGACTCAGATGACGAGGACACAATGGCCGAGATTCGTCGCAAAGTCCTCGCCTCAAAGACCTTCACTAACCCCAATCAACAAGACGATAAGAAACCTGCCACCATTCCCAACCCACATCAACATCAACAGCAGTTCAAGCCTAATACCAGCGTCCAGCCTGACTCGGACAACGAGAGGAGCGGAAGCGAGGGTGACGACGACGACGATGAATTTGATCACATCATTGAGGCCACACCTGTGACTGATCGTATTGGTTTGGCCAAATTGGAAAAGGAGCGTAACCAGGCTACTATCACGACGAGGACGTTCTCATCCAATGCTGTGGGAGCGCCATCTCGAAGTTGAGCAGACGGTTATCAAATACAAATTGTATAAGAACTCTAACCACATTACTTATCCATCAAGTTAAAGAAATGAGGTCATGGAATTGTAACTTTTAGTATTAACAGTGAGATTTGGTATATCGTCCCTCTATCCAACACCCAAATCTTGGCATGCTCTTCCGTCATAAGACCATGTCTGCATATGCATCTATTCATACACGACTCTCTTTACCAAGAGAGCGATCCCCTTTTGATTTCCACCTTTTGTACATGTATTACAGTTCTGTTGTTACAGTGTTCGCTTCTCCTTAATTTCCTCATACGTCTGGATCTGATCGTCGATTTGTAGCTCCTGGAAATCTTCAAGGCCGATACCACACTCAGTACCCTTGCCCATCTCCATGACGTCCTTTTTGACATGCTTGAGTGTGTCGATTTTGCCTGTGGGTTAAGTCAGTATCAAGGAGGAAAACACAAAGAGTCAAGATATGGGCAGAATGCATAGAAAAGGGAAGGGCGTAACTTACCATCATAGACGACCTCTCCACCGCGGATAACCCTGACCATAGACGTTCGTTTGATAGTGCCGTTGCGGATCTTGCAGCCGGCAATATTTTTCTGCAATCTCTTCCTGATGTTGATGGCAAATACTTGCAAAACGTCTGCCTCGCCGAGGACTTTGTGTGTAATCTTGAATGGTAGCAGATCTGATAGTGCACTCTTAACATCGTCGACAACGTGATAAATGACGCTGTGGTCGATGATGCGCACACCAGCCTCTTCGGCACGCTGGCGAATATGAGGAAGGACAGGCATGTTGAAGTTAATGATGATACTCTTAGATGCGGCAGCGTGGTCGACGTCATACTCGGAGATTGCACCGACGCCAGATCGTAAGAGTTTGGATTGGACTTCGTTGCTTCCGAGTTCCTGAACAGTGCCACAGACAGCCTCCACGGACCCAGCGACATCAGCCTTGACAATAAAGTTCTGGTAGATAATGCCGGGCTCAGTCTTGGCAGGCTCTGCTTCAGTGCCCGCGGCTTCTGCAGCTGCGGCGGCTTCCTCAGCGGCTTCCTTCTCACGCTGACGCTGCTCTTGTTCGGCTAGTTGCTTAGAGCTCTCCAGTCTCTCAGCCATCTCCTCACGGTACTCAACCGCTGTCCTAGCTTTGCCCTCATCAGGCGCCTGGAGAACTTGTTCTCCAGCATCAGGCAACTCACGCCAGCCAAGGATCTGGACAGGAGTTCCAGGGGTTGCCTCGGGGATCTCGACACCAGCTTCGTTGCGAAGGCCACGAATTTTGGCCCACGATTTGCCGGCAACGATAATATCACCAAGACGTAGGGTTCCTCGCTTGACAAGCACTGTAGCCGTCTTGCCAGTTTGCTTGATGCTAGATTCTAAAACCCAACCCTCGGCCATGCCATCTGCTTCAGCGCGGACATCGAGGATTTCGGACAGTGTGACGATGTTCTCTTCGAGATCCTGCATGCCCTTGCCCGTCTTTCCGCTTACGGGTACCACCTGGACATCACCTCCATAATCTTCAATTTCGACGCCATGACGAGCAAGATCAGCTTTGACTTGGTCTACTCGAGCATCTTCCTTATCAATCTTGTTAATTGCCACGATAATAGGAACCTTGGCAGCCGTGGCGTGTTTCAACGCCTCCAAGGTCTGCGGCATAACACTGTCATCGGCAGCTACAACCAGCACCACAATATCTGTGACATTGGCGCCTCGTTGACGCATGGACAAGAATGCAGCGTGACCTGGTGTATCAAGGAAGGTAATCTGCTTGCCCGACGACATTTGGACGACAAAGGCGCCAATGTGTTGTGTGATGCCACCGTGCTCCTGGGCAGCAATCGAAGACTTACGTAGCCAGTCCAAAAGAGTAGTCTTTCCGTGATCGACGTGGCCCATAATGGTGACAACAGGGGGCCTGCTTGGCAATAGGGATGGATCTTCGGGCACCGGTCGAGGTTGTAGATCGCGCTGAGAACCAGTGTCCACTGTGGGATCATAGCCGTACTCCTGAGCGACAAGGGCTGCCGTATCACCAGTCATGATGGTTTCCTCCGAGAGATCCTCAAATCCCATGGACTCCAGGTCATGTAAGAAGTCGGCAATGCGAACCTGAAGAGCACTAGCCAAGTTGGAGATACTAATGTACTCGGGGAGAAAGATGGGTACGGGAGCAGCCTCGGCAGCTTCCTCAAGGCGCTTCTTTGCATCTCTCTCAGCCTTCTTACGCTGTCTAGCTTCCCAGCGTCGAATTGAATCTTCATCAAAGTCATCATCTTCATTCTCGTTTCGACGAACATTCTTGGGGCGCTTGTCCTTCTTGTCTCTCCGTCTATCAAACACATCGTCTTCCTCTATCTCGAAACGTGACTTGCGCCTTGTTTGATCTTCTTGCGACTGCTGAGTATCTCGAAACATGCCATCTGCCTCCTGAAGTGCATCCTGGTATTGATCGCTGGGGCCAGGTCTGCTACGAATGTTTGTGACCCGACTTTCAAGTGCGTCCCAGAAACCATCACTCTCGCCGCTTGCTTTCTCTTCCAACTTGCGGGAGCGCTTCAGCTGACCCCATACGCTCTTGCTATCTTCCTGGCTTGTTGCTGGTGCTGCTTTTTTGGGTTTGTTCTTGTTTTGGTTCTCCGCAGGTTTCGCCTCAGCTTGTCTATTTATGAGGGGTATCTGAGTATCAACCTTTCGAGCGCTGAAAGCTCCCCAAGCGGGTGCAGTCTGCTTGGGAGGCTCATTAGTAGACCATGACTTGGGTGTTGCCACTGGAGCCGGTGTGCGGTCTGTCCTGAAAGCTTCAGCAAGAATTGAGCTTGACAACAGGTTCGATGGGGGCGTTGTTGGCTTTGCGTCTCGCTGTTGCTCTTGCTGTTGTTTGGCACGGTTGTTTCCGTCGTTCGATCGGTTTGGTCGCTGATTGTCTCTCGCTTGAGGTGTGTTTTTCTTCTGACTTTGATTTTGATAGGCGTTCTGGGGGCTTGATGGCTTCTTGACGTTCTTTTGTGCAGACGGCGGGGTGGGGGCCTCAACCTTTGGAGTAGGTTTCTTCAAAGGCAATCCCATCTTTTTACGAGCTTCTAGCTCATGCGGAAGCAATTCACTGCTTTGCTTCGAAACATCTGGTGATGGCTTGTTCGCAAATGCTCCGAAAGACCCTAATCCAGCTCCAAACCCTCCTGGAAAACCACTCCCCGGGAAGCCTCCCGGCTTGCCATTATCGTTCGGTCCGTGAAGTGTAGAGCTTGTCGACAGGGTGCGCACACCAGGTAATCGTAGAGAGTGACATGACGATGGCCGAATGGCTCTAGCTGATGTTATTGAAGCTGCGACGCTGGACACATGGCGATCTCTGAGCTGCGAATCCCTCGGCGAGAGTTTGTGGCGGCAGAAGGCACATACGTAGGAATTACCGCGCTCCTGGACATTGTGTAAGACATCTGCTAATGGTGATCGATTGTGAAGAACTAACCTGTAAGGTGCGAGCTCTCAACATTGCCGCGACAAGGAATTGGCAGACTTGGAGCGAATCTGCTTCGACATTGGTTTTGCAACTGAATGTGTTGAAGGTGCTGTAAGTTAGAATAGAAATCCAAACTTAGTGGAGTTCTAGTTAACCACAGTGGGCAACCAATCGCTCCGGACCCCTCGGCGCGGGGATTGTCCGCCACAGTTAGTGGATAATGGGCGTTACTTGCTCAATCGCCCTATCTCTGAGCTTCAATTAGTGAGCCAAGACGATGATATTAAATTCAATAATTTAGATTGTCCAAGGGAGTGAGCTTGGAATTACTCCATGAAATTACTCAAGTTCTTTTTGGTCATTCCTTCTAATAGTTGTTACATTAGACATGTTTTGAATTATCAAACGCTATGCCCATAGACCTATCCAGCCAATGGATCTTTTGTGGAACCAAGATTCGAACATGATTTCTACTCATTCTTCGAGAACACATTTGCAATTACAACTCCTGCCTACCTCCACCTAATCACACTATTCAACATCACCTGGCCTTTTGTCACCGAAACTCAGTGACCACCAGGTCAAATCTCATTAAAAATGGCACCGAATAAGAGAGGGGGAAAACAGAAATCGACCCAGTTCGTCGACAAAAAGAATGAGGCTCCCCCTTCACCTTTCAAGCGGCCCCCTGAGGTCCTTGAGCCGTTCATCAACTCTCTGGACAAGAAGCACGTCTATGTCACACACATTGATAATAAGCCTGCCGAATTCAAACGAAAGATCTTCCTCGTGCCTGTTGGCATGAACCTTGTCGTTGTACTTCTCTTTGTTCTTCGCATGTGGTGGATTCTCCCCTGGTATTGGTCGCTCATCATGACTGGCTTGGGCCACGACAACGAAACCACATGGAACACTGCAGACTCAACATGGTCTGAGATTGCCTGGGAGATCGGAAAGCGCTCTGGAACAATGATGATTGATTTCATCCTTTTCATCTTTGTCTGGCCCTGGCCTGTGGAATTCGTCGCTGGACAAGCCCGTGGTAATCCCTGTCAATGGCGATGGCAAGTTGGCTTCCGTGAGCAGGAGGTCTATGTTCGTCGAAGCCGAGAATGGGATCAAGCTCTTACAGACATTTTTACGGACGAAGGCTCCAAGAAGATTCTGCTCACATACATCAATCATGCGACGTCTCCTATTCTTCAGGAACAAAAGACTGGATATCTCCTAATGAACGGCCACTGGGATTTGGATTGGGCACGTATGGTACTCGCACATCGCCTGGTAGACAAGAAGGAGATTGCACTTGAGGCCTTTAAGAGCGTGGTTCTTGTTCACCACGCTAACTACGGTTGGATATCTTACGATGTGCGCGGTAGTGGTGCGTCAAGTGAGGATGAGCGACGGCGACAAGTCTTTGCATTCCGAGATGCGCTTATTGCGCTTGGAAAGGAAGACTTGTTCTATCGCTGGGTTGAGATTGTTCAATTCGAAGCGACACAGCCTGGCGGATTCGGTCCTAAGGAACAAGAGGCAGCGGCCAAGAGAATCAGGGAGTTGTTTGAGAATGAGAACATCAACTTTGATGAACTTTGGAAGAAGAGTGTTGGGACATAGTCTTTTCAGGAGATCTTGTTATTTATAATACTTCACTGCATTATTTATATATATAACTACTCACTTAATCTTACTCCTCAATAAACATCAAAAATACAAAAAGAATAATAAAATAAATAGATTTTTGATTTTTAATATTATATACAGAATTACACGCCCAGCATCCAACTCTTTAAGCGGTGGATCTACTGCGCGCCCTGCTTTCGCCTGGGTATTTCTTTGCTCACGCTTATGGCCTCGTCGCTTCCCCAGTACGGGCGTCCTCATACTGAGAAGAGGCCAGGGGCCATACAGAGTCTCTGAGGGGGGTTTGTAAGGTGGCACGGCGGGTGTGATTCGAACCCAGAAGTTCTGGGTTGAACCACTCCGCCATGCGACCCCCAGAGGCCCCCCGCTTGTTGACAGAGACTTGGTTGCGATGAGTGATAAAGGTATGGGCGGCGGTAACACTGGTGTGCGCGGGGTGCAGCCGGCAGGCAGCTGGCTGATTCACGGTGAGCTTCCACTGCGGTGAACGCAAAGTCACCACACCGGACAGCAATATGCACGGCCCCGCAGCGAATGCGTCACATGCTTAAAGGGGAAAGCATATTTGTTTATGCTGCGTCCTCGTTGTGGATCATATCGAAGTTTGGTGGTAGTGAGTCAACCACTCAACCAACAATCACTTTGATATATATGCCAAAGGCCCATTGTCCAATGTTCGCTCAAAAGGTCGATGCTGTTCAACTTTATTGCAAGGTTTGCATAGTCGACAGCCGCAACTAATTTCGTCTGATCAAACTGTTGAACAGAGTAACATAAGCGCACGGCATGGGAACCGATCTTCGTCCATTTGAAAGATATTCAAGCGCCCCTGACTTCAGGGGTCAGCCGAGAGGGCATCCAAGAGCAACGATTGATCAATATGTTCATATGATTCTGATGTAGGTTCGCAGTCTGTGCAATGTCGCAATTACATGCCAGTCGTGCAAATGGTCGTTGAACAAAGAGATTTTCGCCGTTGCCTAATTGGAAGTTGATGAGTTGTGTCCGAGTCTGTCATAATTGGGGACGAGAACTAGCAATTGAGTTTGAGAAACATCTGTGCCTTTGTTAGTGCAGGATCGAAGGCGCGCAGACTCAATTGGGTTTCTTGTCGAGGTAGCGGTAGTCATCGGAAGCCAGGGGTATTATTAGATGTCAGGATGAAGTGTAGTTGGAAGTGTGTGGTGGAGTTAACGTGTCGTGTCTGGCTGACTAACGCCACCACATGTTAGTGCTCAAGGTGGACTTCCACGGTTTCACGTGCGGAGAATCCTAGCAGAGTAGGAGTGCAAGGGGACCGGACCGGACATAAAGCGGTGAAACAGCTTTATATACCTGCTATAGAGCCTTAAGAGGAAGAATTGGACGATGGGAGAGAAAGGTCCATGAGAAGCAGAGGGAGGAAGTTGGTTTCAATATAGCAGTTTTGTTGGTGTTTCCCAAATAACTAAGTCAATCTACGTAGTATGGGGAATGCTGACTGAAAATATCATCCTTGTTGGCTTATTGATGAGCTGTTTGGTTGTTTGGTTGGACAATCACCAGGAAGCCTCTCAAGCTTATGGTTGGGTATGCAAGCTGGGTTGATCCGTCAGGCATCCTTTCACGCGACTCTTGAGGGTGCTTTTTTTTCCTTTCGAATTTTGTAGTTAGAAAACCTTTTAGTGAAAGAGAACTACCGTTGAAGCCTACTCATAGAATAACTAGGTATGGTGCTCGTTGTGTTTCGTTCTCCTTGCACTTTAGAGAGCTCGTATAAGTTACCTTCCATGCCTCCAACCTTACCGAGGTGGGAGAGATTCATTCCTCTTTTTCGTATACTTAATTAAACCAACCCTCAAAGATCAATTATTATTTGTAACATCTTTTGCGTAGTGAGTTTTTATAATGTCTTTTTGCCCTAATCTCCAGTATTGCTTTGCATGTTTCTGAGTCGCTGTCTCACAAGACGGATCATCATCGGCTGACGGTCAACTCCCAACGCAACGCATCACATCCAAACTCCCTGCTTTAGCTTCTAAGGCAAAAGAAGCCAGGTCATTTATCAGTGTCTTCTGGCATTGGGTCTTCATTTCAAACCAAAGAGTCTACCGAAAAAGGGAGAATCAGCCCAAATCGATAGCAGCAATACTTGGTCCTATACCCCCATGCAAGGACATTCCGTCCCCCAACGGCTCAGCGATCTATTGGCTCTAAGAGCTAATGAGACGCCTGTAACTTGGGAGCTCATTCACTTATCAAAAGTAGCCCGCGGGCCCCAGTCCAAAACCCCTAAATCTGAACGCGCAACTAGCCCCGTTCAGGCTCAGCCCAGTCAATCAAAGTTCCAGGACAGGACATCCATCAAACTACCCCTTCAACCTCATCTCGACCCCAAAAAAGGACTTTGCTGTCGCTCCCTCTCCTTCACTTCCGACTTTTCCCTCTCAACACCAAAACTAATTATCTCTATCTACTCGAAATGTCCTCGGGATTGACGCGACGCCGCGGTGCGGGCGGCGCAGGACCTGCGGCTGAGGGCGATTCCAGCAACGGCACTGCCCCTAGAACGAGCACACCAAGCGCCAGGGACAACGGACCCGAGACGAGCTACGAAAGCACAGAAAATGGCCACAAGATCGCATTCGACCCTCGCGACATCAGTGAGAGCGCTGAGCGAAGCAAGCAGCCAAAGCTCACTCTCATGGAGGAGGTCCTGCTACTTGGCCTCAAGGATAAGCAGGTAGGCTGCCACTCATGCTCATACACGTGCCCTTTGTGCTCAAGGGAACGAACACCTCTGACTCTCGAATGCTCATAGGGCTACCTCTCTTTTTGGAACGACAACATCTCTTACGCCCTTCGAGGATGCATTGTCATCGAACTGGCCTTCCGTGGTCGCATTGCAATGGAGAAGGATGCTTCAAGACGCCGATTCCCCCTCGCAGACCGCAACATCGAGGTCATAGACGACACCCTTACTGGCGAGGTTCTTCTCGACGAGGCTCTCAAGATGATGAAGCAGAGCGAAAAGATGAGCGTCGCAACCTGGATTGACTTGATGAGCGGTAAATAACCCTACCCACCATTCTTCCAATACCCAAGCAACTGTCGCTGACTGCCTTGCGAATGACAGGCGAGACCTGGAACTTGATGAAGATCGGATACCAGCTCAAGCAGGTTCGAGAACGACTCGCAAAGGGCTTGGTCGACAAGGGCATCCTCCGCACCGAGAAGCGCAATTTCCTCCTTTTCGACATGGCAACTCATCCCGTCGCCGATGGCGGTGCTAAGGAGGAGATCCGCCGCCGGGTTCGCAACATCCTTACCCAACGGACCGTAGTCCTCAATGGTAGCCAGTTCCTACCCGAGTCGCTCGAATTCCGTTATATGCGCAGTATCGCCATGGTTTGCGCCGCCTACGCTGCTAACGTCCTCGAGAACGCCCTCGCATCCCTTGGCCACGAGGCAAGGGAACGGGCTTTTGCGCAGACCGATGATTTACTCGCCGACTACAGTCAATGGCCATTTGGCAAGAAGGCCACACAGAACGGCATTGGTGCCAACTTGCCTCAACTTATTAATGAGGTGGGTAGTATATGATGCCTGCGAGATTTTCGTAACTGACAGTAGCTACAGGAGGTCAACAGCGGCAAGGACAAGGAGCTCCAGCTCGAGGTGGTTGCAGCTTGCTTGAGTGTCTTCACTAGACTCGACTCTCTCCTATAGATGTACTCATGCAAGCTTCATGCGTGTCCACCACCGCCGAACGTGACGTTCGGCTACACCTTCGTTCAACTACTCAGCGTCCCAACCAGGCCAAGCTCTCTCCCTCGAAATCTCTGTTCCAACTATCCGATCCTAATTCATCATAAACCCATTTTCACGAAATGACTTTGACGGCAACAGTCTCATGGCTCCCCTCGCCCAAATGAAACCAACACGACTCTTTACACACAACCGCTACTATATGGGGCAATTTCAGGGAATTGGGACTTTGCTGCTGCTCAATTGAACTGAGTTGCAGTTGGGTTTAAGGCATGAAGAGCTTGGAGCTTGGCCAATTGATTAACTCAGCGCAAAATATTGTTTTTGCTGGGTGCTTGAACAAGTGGTGTTGGTGGTTACACTCACGCAATAACCCACCCAAACTTCTTCTTTTAATGTCCTTTTTATTTTTGTCGGGGCTTATCTATTCGTCCTTTTTACTTTTGGGAAACAAAAAGGAGGTGGACGGGATGACTATGACTCTGGCTCTGACTATAGCTCTGTTGTGTATGTGTGTGTTCTGTCGATGTGTTTCTTGGAAGGCTAGGGAAAGGGGGCGAAATCCATAGGTCGGTGTGTGAAAGGGAAGCCGTTGTTGTTTTGTCGTCGACTTGGGTTTGGTATCTCCATTGTAATGAAAAAGAAAATGTCACGGACAACTTTTAACACACCTTGCAAGGGCGTTTGTCTATTATGAAAACTTGGGGTCTTGATATTTGCTGTTACATCTGCTGATGTTAGACTTCAGATAGTTAAGTATGAATGAACGACTCGGATCTACACACTCAACGCAAATATACTCGAACTTTGGTTAAGGCAGCATGGGGATTTGCATTGCTGGGACTTGAAATTTCAACTGGCTTGACAGCACCTTCGAGACACGCTCTCTGCTTTCGTATGATGATGAATTATATCAACTAAGTTAGTACATGCATCGTCGAGCTGAGTTCTGAAAAAGTTTTCATGTCTCCTCTCCTTTTTGCCGACCATAACTCCGCCAGCGCCGTGTATCTCAAATATATCGAAGGGTAAAAACTCAACCAGCCTTTCTTTTCATCTTCCACTTCCACCTCGTCGCGTCATAACTTCTTCGGTTTATTTTTTCTTGCCTCCAACGCCCAAGCTTCCCTCGAAACCAGGGCGACTCTTCTTCTTACCTCCAGCGGCTCCGCCCTTCTTCTTTTTCTTACCCGCCTTGCCGAGCAGTTTGTCATCCCGTCTCTGGCGCAAGTTATCCTCACGTTTACGTTGACGGTCCTTCTGAGCCTGCTTGACACCGTCGGATCGCTCGCGCCAGGCCTTCTCACTCTTCTTCTTGGCAGTCTCCTTTCGCTTCACGGCGCGCTTCAGTAGAGCCTCGTCGTCGCGGATCTTCTCGCCCTCGGCACGGCGACGAGCTGTCAGCCAGATATCCTTCTCGGCGATGTCGGCACGCTTCTCGGGATCAAGCTCCTGAAGACGCTTCTTCTGGTTTTGGACCTTGATGAGAGCTGTCTTAGGGTCAGAGGGGCCTTTCTTCTTGCCTTGGCTCAGCACGTGGCCGAGATCGCGTGAGAGCTGAGCACCATCACCAAAAGCGACACGGCCAAATGTGAAGTTGCTAGCATTCTCATCGAGTTCAACAGCGGGGCTCATAACACCTGGTGAGCTAGATGCTAGCGCCTCCTCACGCTTTCGTTGCTCCTCCAGTTTAGCCTGTTTACGCATCTCCTGCTTGTGAGCTTTTCGAAGCTCTTGCTTCTTTCTTCTCGATTCAATGAGTTCTTGGCGTGTACGAATGGGCTTGCCATCAGGTCCATCAGCTTTTCGGGCGGCACGAAGGGCTTCGATTTTGGCAGCGAGACGTGCTCGGATGGCAGAGGTGTCGGCAGGGAGCTTGATGTGCTTGGGTTTCTCTGAAGGGGGAATAGTGGATGAGATGGAGGTAGTAGTGCTGGCAGGGTCGGCGGTTGTCTCCGCAGGAGTTGTTGTAGAATCGCTGGTGTCAAAGGTAGGAGATTGTGGCTCGGATTCATGACTTGAGTTGGCGCTGGCCTCGTCCTCCTTCTCCAGACCCGAGATGTCCATAGGTAGAACCTCGCTGTCACCGTGGGCTGCTGTCTCGTCCTCGTCTTTATCTTCCTTTTGCTTCTGGGCTTTATCAGCAAGGTTCTTGGCTTGCTTCTTCGCGGCTTGCTTCTGGGCCTTTGGTGTCGGAGTTGATACATCCTTGTTCTCGGTTTCAGGAGCCTCTGTCTTGTTGGCCTTCTTCTCAGCCTTCTTCTCCTTCTTCTTTTCCTTCTTAGCCGCCCTCTTCTCTTCCTTTTTCGACGTCTTAGAGGAAACTGCCTCAGTTTTATCCTTAGCCTCGGTCTCTGTCTCGTCGTTGAGCTTCTGCTTCTTGTTGGTCTCAGCTATCTTGGCCTTGAGCCCCTCGCCAGGCTTCTCGGTCTCTACACCAGGAACAGGCTCGTAGTCTTCCCAGTCATCTTCGATATCAGTATGGTCATTTTGTTCCATCTCACGCAGCTTTCGCTTGTTCTTGGCCCGTTCATCCATAACTTCCTTGGCATTTCGATTCCGCTCGCTGTCGGGATCCAGCTTTCCGCGTCGGGCAGCGGCAGCCTCTTGTTTTGTCTGCTTCTTCTTGCTCCATTGATCCTACATTTTGGTTAGCCTCATGTTGGTTGACTCTGATGCACATAATATAATAAGAGGCATGTGGTGTGTTTGCCCAAGCGGAGATGATGTTGACCTTGAATTGACAAGACATTGGATTCACATACACTCGTGTCTTCGCCATAGTACATCTTGGCTGGGATAAGACTCAAAAGACCATCAAAGGCTCCACCTTGGTCGCGCAGGCGATCCTAAAGCGCAGAAGGTCAGCTTCAGGGCTTCCTATCGCCATAAATAGAAGATTTGTCCCATCACAGGCGGGGCTTGAGAGCGTTTGGAGGAACGGACCTGCAGCGAAGACTCTGCCATATTAACTGGTGATTGAAATGGTTGAATATCGATGGTACTGTGATATCTCCAGTACTAGAGAAAGACAATTATGGAGAGTCGTGGTGATGAAATGCTCTCGATAATAAAAAGAGGTTGGAAAAGAAAGCTCGGATGGCGATTTGCTGCCTCAGTTTTTTTGGGGAGGATCGTTGTAATTTTTTTTTCCTGAGGTGCCCGCTAAAGATGACCGGCTTTGTGTGGGGAAGGCCCATTGAAGACGGTTGATCCACCCCCTGCACTTAGCGCACTTAGGCCGAGGTACGTACCAACGCCATATTCAGGGTCCTCTGAGCCTCATCAAGCATTGTATGAAATGGATCTCAAATCATATTATGACCAAGGAGATTTTAAGTTTTAAAAATCTTTCATGAAGGTGCCTGTATACTCTCCGTTCCTTCTGAATTTATGAGTAATACAGGTAGCACAGGTAATGCTGAAAACCAGGACCATATGGCTTTTGGTAGATGGCTTGAATCCAAGACACTTGCACCGTGGGTGAAAATTCAAAAGAATAGGTTACCAATGACTTCAGGCGAATTTTGCGCCTCTGAATTATAGTCACCAATTACACGGCTCCTTTTTGATGATTCATAGGTGTTTGGTGTCATCTGCCACGCCGGAATAGTTGAAACTTTGGGTCAAGGCCTGGCTGAAATGCAAAGGCATTCATTGATCAGTATAAGTAATCTAAGTACTATATGTCTTCACTTATTGTAAGTCTGTACCATCCTGACTGTATTATAGTCTCGCAGATTACCATACTATGGTAAGACTCACAGATTGCAGCTAGTAGGTCGTTCTTAAAACCTCGTAGGAGAGACTTAGAACATGAGCTAGAAAAACAGGTTTAGGTTTGTATCACTACGCCTTTCTGTTCAATCCTTTGAACGAATTTAGTCTAGATGACACCTAAACAATAACCAAAGCAAAAGCTTTCATGTGAATTCGTTGGTCATGCTCTTATTGGACTCTATTTCTTCTTGCCCTTCTTTCCAGCAGCAGCTTCTCGCCGACGAGCCTCCCTAGCCTCGAACTCGGCCTTCTTGACCTTCTCTTGCTCCTCTCTTTCTTCACGTTCAGCCTGAAATTGCATTAGTAAGACCATTCTACTAACAAAATACCGGATATGTGGGTAACTCACCTGTCTCCGCGCGGCATCGAGAGCACGCTGCTCACGGATGGCCTTGAGACGCTCCAGATCGGCCCGAGACTCGTCCGTCTTGCCCTCAGCTGTCAAGCGCATGTGTCTCTCCTTAGCAGCTGCAGCCTCGAGAGCTTCACGCTCGCGTCGGCTTGGTGCTGCTTGCAGATTCTCGACACCATCTGTGATCTCGTCGACACCAGAGGATGCCGCCTGTTTGCGAGCCTTCTTCGAGTGATTGGGGTTTGCAGGCATATCGTCATCCTCTTCGCTTTCGCTCTCGTCTTCGTCGCTCGAGGGCAGATCACCAACTTCGACGGTCTTGGCCTTCTGCCTGGCTATGGCAGCCTCCTTTCGAGCTTTCTTCTCGGCCTTTCGAGCCTCGCGTGACTGCTCTTGGGTTTGTTCTTGAGAAGGGCCAGCACCAGACTCCTTCTCGCTGTCCTCTTCCTCTTCCTCTTCAGAAGATTCCTCTTCGGAAGACTCTTCCTCATCGCTGTCGTCGTCCTTCTTATCTGGGTCGACAGCCCACATGCTAACCTCGTTTCCATCGGCATCGAGAGGTCGAATATCGCGAGAGAACTTCTTGCCACCTGGGAGTTTGTTAGTCCTGGGGTTGAGCACGAACTCGTGGTCAACATACCTCCTCGTGCGGGCTTTCGAAACTTTCCTCCTCGGCCACGCGAGCCTCCTCCGGGGGGCCACCAGGAGCCATGATGGGCAAGCTGTGATGAAATGGGAATGAGGGAGGTGAGTTTTTGGAGGATAGAGAGAAGTCTATCTCAAGGCTTCTTTCTGTGTTAGGACTTGTTTAAATCGTTTGGGTCGGGATATTCTGTATTGTTGATTATCACGCCAACTCTTGACTGAACGTTTGTTTGCTGATCAAACTTGTTCAGCAGGGCGGGGTAGCGGGGTAGCTAATGACGGCAGCTCTGATAAACGAACAAGCAGGGAGATGGAGGGTGGGATGTTGTTGATCAGGAACTTTTGAATGGCGTTGCTCCTCTTATAAATGATTGCAACTTGAACTGCAGATCGTTGCAGGTGGAATATGAGTCAAAATAGAAAACACTTTTTTTGCTTAGAAGTTTATTAAAGTGAATGGGTAAACATGATAGGCGAATAGATCGAAGCTAATAGGAGACTTTTTACGTCGCACAGGAGCCTGATCAACTCGAGTGGAACGCAGAAAAGCAAGACCTGGTATGACTCAGTCCTGAAACTTAGTAGCCAGCCCATGGAAATGAATTAAACAACATTGCAGGTGTCCAATGTACAACACATTCAAGCAAAGAATAAAATAACGATACCCCTATCAAACCCCCCAATGATCCACTGCACAAGTCCAGGTGTACCTTGTACTATGTTTCAGCGGATTTTATTGTCAGCCGTTGGAGACTTTCAGGAACGAGCTGGGCACTGGAATGACTGAACGAATAAGAGGACCCCAGTTTGTCGTGTCTTGATCAGCTCACTGAGGGGCGTGTTTCATGCCGCCAACAAAGTGTGTTTGCAACGGGCTTGCATGCATTGTTCGTCCCTCGTGCACGCGACTGTATTGATATCTTGACTCATCCTTTGATTCCAGGCAGAAATAATCATCCAAGGGTGTAGCTTCGGTTCTCTTGAGTTAAATTCATTCACTAGACTTTAAAAATGACTCCTTGCTCTGAAGGTGACTTACTATATCCAATTCTTACCCAATTCGCAGGGACTTTCATGAGATGGATGGACCCCTAAGACCCGACCTTTTCGGCGCATCAATCTTCCACTCCCGCTTTTGGCGCCCCACTCAGGTAAACAAAACCACATCGAGTGAGCCGCGATTTTATTCTCTTTTTTCCTTTCTTCTTCAACCTACTAGAAAAACTGAATCCTTCAAATTCACTCTGGCTTTCATTACACCATGGAGGTACTTGGAGGGGAAACTGGAGGAAAGATGAATTACCGCTGACACTTACCCTCTGTTCTGCTTGTAGCTTTTGCTGCGTCGGGAGAGAGAAATTTTGACGCGGTACATACTTTTCTTCCACATCATTTGAGATGTGAGATCATGATTGAGGTGAGTATGGATGCGCGTGAGCATGGGTGCTTCATCACATGTCATGCATGTTTTTCGTAACTTCATATGCTTGCACTATGGTACCCTCGTATTCTAAAGTGACAATATGCCCTCAGTGAATGAGTGGTATCTCTCCTAGTACCTACTGGGTAGCTAGGTGTTTACAGCAACAACTCCTCACATGAACTCATTCCATGATGGATGAATCTATTGGTAATCAGCTTTTGGCGCTGGGTTTCTTTGACATTGGATGTTTGACACTGAATATTTCCCCGTTCCCTGAGGCTGTGATGCCAACGCCGACCTATTTCAGAATGTGCGTCAGATTAACCAACGACCAGAGGTTTCTCACCAAAGCCACACACCCCAAATCTCTTTCACGTAGGGCAAATAGATATTTTCTTACACATTTCGTCTTCTACAATACTTACACCCAGTCTGGTCCCTAGGGTCTCTTGTCAAAGAAGCGGTTTCTTTTCTTGATAAGATCCGGCAATGTCTGTAGAAGCCGCTGACTTTGCGCTTGCTGCTGAGCAGTTGGTTTGTTCATGATATATTCTCGACGCATTCTTCGCCAGTCCTTCAGCTCTGTTCTGTACTGCGAACTCCCAGGGACATCCGTGGGTCTGAATATATGGTTCGTGTCCCAAAATAGTGCCTTGATCTCCCTGTCATGTTGTTCGCTGCGCTTGCGGAGCTCACCAGCATGGACCGGATGCGTCCAGTCGAGTTGGTGCACATGATACGATGGAAAATCTGAGCCAGGCTCGGAAGATGTTTCGGTGTCGAGTCTTGGTGTTGGTGACACGATCGTCAGGATTCTGAGCGGCTTATTTGGGCTATTGCGGTCCTGGAAACGACGAGGAAGGGACGTGAGGATGCCAGCATCGTCGTCGCTTTCAGAACTGGCACTAGAGGAGCCTGAGGACAAGCAGTCATTATCAGGGTATTGTATTGGGGTTTCTGTCTCGTCTATATCTGGATCGCTTTCAGATAGACCGTACTGTGAGCTACTACTGGGTCCTGGGCTCGTCGCTGCCGTGCTGGTACTCCTAGACTCGGGCAATGGTAAAAGAAGTGGCTCAACAGGAAATATTGCCGAAAAGGTCGAAGGGACAGAGAACTCATCGTCACGTCCATCATCATCTTCGATGAACCCCTCATCACTCAGTAGAACAGAGTCCGTCAGATCGCTGTTGAAGAAAGTCAGTGCAGTGAGAGGATCAGGGAAAGCGAAGCATGTTGTTGGGCCATCATGACTTGCCATGTCAGAGTTCGGCATTCCTGCGTTCTACAGAAAATGGTACTTCTGGCGTTGTGCCTCCAGCGGTAAAGTAGATGTACGAATGCTTGTTTACAGGGACCGATGTTTGAAATGTTAGGTATCAAATGTGAGTTGTACAAGAAATGCCCATTTCGAGAAGACGAGCAGGAGAATATATAGGTTGGGGGGACCATGGAAGACTTGAGGGAGTGAGCAAAGAGTCATGTCTGGATTTTACGACTTTGAGTGTTTTTATTAGACTTATTGAGGGCGTTGAGAAAGTGTCTCTTTTAAATACCCTATAACTGTCACTTTGTCACGGCAGAACATGGTTCGCTGTACTTTGACACGAAAAAAGGAACTGAAGGAAGTTCGTTGATCAGTCAGTGTTGCAGACTATCGATGAATCACGTACTCCAGAACATTATCAACAATCATGCATTTAGGGGCGGAACAGAGAGGAGGAAGTAAATTGTTCAAACTTGAGAGAAGCATCATAGTGAAAACTAATATATGATATGAATTGTTGAAACTTACTTGAAAGTTAAAAAGTCAAATAAGATTATCATAAAGCATAAAGAAGAGAGAACCAGAGCTTAGGCTGAAATACTATAAGATTCCTATGAAAGAGACTTGCATGTCATGGATTCTTTCAACGCCCAAGGCCCATATCCTCCAGAACATCAACAACCCGCTTTCTCTTTGCCTTCCTTATTGCCAACATAGGTGCGGACCTCTCTGAACACACTAAGTTGACTCCTTTCTTCGGTATCTTAGCTGGCTTCTTCCCACTAGCCCTTCGAATGACAGATTCTCGTGTGAACGTGAATTGTCGTGTTGCGAATAGCCCCCTGCTAATATATGATGGTCTCGTATCGATACCACCACGTTGAGAAGTGTGACCCAAGTGAAGGCACGCAATCGGCCGCGAGGGTAGAATGAAGGGACCTGCTACAGCCTTGTAAGGAAGGACCCCACGGGCTCCCAAATCTTGATCAGAACAGAGTTGGCCGAGAAAGGAGTAAAGCCAAAATGCCCAGGCCTCAAATGCAACCCCATGGCATGTACGAGCTTCTCGAGATGCAGCATTAGTATCCCACCAAGGCGTATTCTCCTTTGCAGTATCGCAGAGGTAGTTAAGAAGAAGTGGTGCCTGACGATCCTGCACGAACTTAACAGCGCATCGCGAGTCGCTGCACAACGACACCAAGTCATTATCGATACTTGCAGCGAGGTCACGGAGATTTCTGTCTCGGGTTTCTTCTAGCGGCGCAAAGAGCATGAGATACCGTAGTAGTGAGTCGTCCAATCTATGTGGCGGTGAATCTGCCTGCTCCCATCCATGTTCTTGCGCTGCCGCCTTACTGGCGTCCCATGCGTCCCTTGCACCAATCACGTCGTACAGGGCAAGAGAAGGGAATTTTGACACCCATTGTAGAGAGGCTTTGGATGTCGTCTCATCGCCCCATATTCGCAATACTCGAAGCAAGGGGAACGGATCAGGTTTCTCAGACCACCCCCGGACAAGACGGTCCGAGATATTGGGGAACGCAGTCCGCTCAGTCGGCTGAATTATTTCGAGAGCACCGAGATTAGGCATGTCGGCGAGACATAGAAGATCATGGGTATTGAAGGTGCAACCGCCAGCGACGACTATGTGTGTTATGAAGTCTGAGGGCGGCGCTGTTAGGGGCTGAGTGTAGCGGGTGAGATCGTTGCCCGGGTGGCATATGTGCTGTCGAAAGCGGTACAGGCCAAGATTCTTGTCATCTCCTTCATCCATAAGGAGTTTGGAGAGGTACCTCCAAGCATGAAGAGATACTCCTCTACTTCAGTATTAGTCTCAGATCTCTAGTTGTTTTCCGCGCCATCCGCAGGTTGTCAGACTGTTGATGTTGATGCGCTGGGTGAGAAGTGTTTATTGTATGCTTCTTGAAAGGCGAATAAGAAGCAGAAGAAGGACGATGAAGGACCGAGGACGTCATGGTAATGACCAATGAAATGTATAAGGTTGGGGATAAGAACAATGCCGGTGATGGTAACAACTTTGTCTTTGATGCACTGACCTTGCCTCGAGATACCTCCAAATGCGCAATAGTATGACTTTTGGCAAAGACTCAAGATGGGTTATAGAGCGAATCTTGCCAAAATTGTCGCCGACAACACTGATAGCTATGTCTAACAAAGATCGAGGTCCTTTGGTGCCTCGAGGTTTGAAGGAAGGGTATGGACGACGCCGGCTCCAGTCTGCGTTGCTCTCAGCCGCAAGAGCCTCCCGGGTCATGAGATATTCCCTGAAAGCTGGACCAGAATTTGGGTCGAACATGGCTGATTCAAGAAAAGAATCATATAAATTTGGTATCAAGTTATTTAGGTCTATGACAGAATAGTATAAGCTTATGGTGGGATCATATGAGATTATGAGAAAGAGTCCGAGTTTGGTTGTTGAAGTGCTTACTGAATGAAATTGAGAAAGTGGCGAGGTTGAATGCGTTTCGGTAGACGGCTATTTCACTGGAGCTACAAGAAGAAACTACCTACAGTTGATGGGCCGACTTTGCCAATGAGACCAAAGAAAAATATAACAGTAATGAATAGCACATACGTAGTCTTTAATTGATTTATTTTGAATTTTTTTATATTGTTTGTCGCTTAAAATCTTTAACTGTTCTCCCTCGCGGAAACACCGTCCGAACAAGCCTATCTTTTTTCCATGCATGAACGGGAACAAGCGAAGCCACTCAAACAAACAGTGGCTTATAACGGCCGCCCCTGTGATGTGATGGCTTCGAGCCATTCGACCCTCTTCCCAATCCTCAAGCTTGTTATCTCAAAGCCGAGTAATCCTTCTTCAGAATACTTTTCACATGACCGTGCGCTATGGTATCCAATCGTAATATCATTCCTTCTCTTTTATTTGTGTCATCTATAGCATAGGCTTGAGGTCCTCGGCGACGTGGAAGGGAGCCTCTGTCTTGCTCTTGACCTCGTCAACAGTGACACCGTCTGCGATCTCGATAAGGGTAAGGCCGTTGGCGAAGTCGACATCGAAGACACCCTAGGAAGAGAGTTAGTATATTATCAACAGAGGACATGAAACTTTAGGGAAACTCACCAGCTCAGTAATAATTCTCGACACACAAGCACGTCCAGTCAGAGGGAACGCGCACTGCTTGACAATCTTGGGGTTGCCCTTCTTATCTGTGTGCTCCATTGTCACAACAACCTTGGTCTCACTGGGGTTACTGACAAGATCCATGGCACCACCGAAGCCCTTGACCTTTCCGGGAAGCATCCAGTTGGCAAGATCACCAGTGGCGCTGACCTGCATAGCTCCAAGGATAGTGAGGTTGATACGACCGCTGCGAATCATACCAAAGCTCTCCTCGCTACCGAAGACAGCAGCACCGGGCTTGAGAGTAACTGTCTCCTTGCCAGCATTGATCAGGTCAGCATCCTCTTGGCCCTTTTGAGGATAGGGGCCTAGACCAAGGATACCGTTCTCAGACTGGAGCTGAACCTCGACCTCGGGACCGACAAAGCCGGGGGCGAGCATAGGCATACCAATACCCAGGTTAGCGTACATGCCGTTCTTGAACTCCTTGGCAGCACGACGAACGATGCGCTCACGCTTGGCAGCTGTGTCGCCAGAGCCGAGGGCCTTGGTAGCCTCGGGGTCGTTGGGGTCCTTAGCCCAGGTGTACTTCTCGATCGACTTCTCCTCGGTGCTCTGAATGACGCGCTTGACGTAGATACCGGGCAGGTGGACAGCCTCAGGAGGAATCTCACCGGGCTCAACGATGTGCTCAGCTTCGACAATGGTCATCTTGGCGTTGCGGCCCATAGCGCCGTTGAAGTTGTGAGCAGCGAGACGGAATTGGCAGTTACCAAGCTTGTCAGCCTTGTAGGCCTTGACGAAGGCATAGTCACCGTCAATGCTCTCCTCAAGAAGGTATGACTTTCCCTTGAAGACCTTGACGTCCTTGGGGTAAGAGTAGACATCGGGAGAGCCATCAGCCTTGTTGCGCAGGGGAAGATCACCAGTCTGAACAACTGTGCCAAAGGCAGCAGGGGTGTAAAAGGCAGGCACACCCTTACCACCAGCGGCGCATCGCTCAGCGAGAGTTCCCTGAGGGGTCAGCTCAAGCTCGACCTCGCCAGTGAGGTACATCGTTTCAAAGGTCTTGTTCTCGCCAATGTAGCTAGCAATCATCTTGCGGATCTGCTTAGTCTTGAGAAGTCTGCCGAGACCAAAGTTGTCGGTACCAGCATTGTTGGAGACGGCTGTGAGACCCTTGATTTCAGGCTTCTCAAGGACCTCGTTGATAAGAGAGTCAGGAACACCGCAGAGACCGAAACCACCACAGAGGAGAGTTGTGTTGGGCTTCATGTCCTTGAGAGCTTCCTTAGCAGATGGGAAGACCTTGTTGATCTCGGCGCGGCGAGCGGTTGCCGAGAAGGATCGTGCGAGGACGGCATTAGGCTTTAGAATTGTTAGTATGCACTGGAGATGCGCATTTAGCTGTTCGAGAGACCTACGTTGGTGGGATTGCGAGCAAAGGCTCGAAGGGTCCGTAACCGAAAAGCTGAAGAAGACATGCTGTGTGTGTGTGTGTGTGTGTGTGTGTGTTTAGAGAGGACGGATGAGAAGGTCGGGAATACCTTCAGTGTCGACAACCCTGCTGTCGGTTGGGGAGTAGCTATAGTATATGCTTATTTGTATGATCAATTGAGCTTCATGCGCCAGGAATCTTTCTTCCAGAGACAGACCAGAGAGAAAGAAAGGAAGAGATGTTATGAGAGAGAACTTGTGCCGACAATGACGATAGAAGTTGACGGCGCCGTTGGCGGGGGATATCCGTTTATTAAGGCCGGCTCTGGCCGTAAATCGACCTCCGTCTAAGCTCAAATACAATTCCGCGACCAAAGTTCGGAAGCGATAATCGGCATTCGGTATGATACCTAAACAGCATTTACAGGAACATTTAGGCGGGTCACCCTCATAAGCTCTCCTCTAACGGCTGCCGGGTGGTGCCCGTAGAAGAGAACCTTCACCTTAGACCGGAAGCGAAGTGGAGGATCTCCCCGATCTCGACCTGTGGAGACCGAGGATAAAGTGATCATGAGTGGCAGGACAGAGAGAACAGCGGGGGCTCAAGTCCGGGGCAGAGCAGTCTGGCGCTGTTATTTAGTGGGCGGGTAATGGGTTTTCCGAACCTACCGGCTATTCGTTTCGGGAGTTGACTTGTCATGACGGAACAGGGCTTCTCATGACAACCAAACAAGACGGGTTTTCACCTTGACAAGCTAACTTTGTTAGGGAAACTTGCTGATGTTTGGAGAGGAACATCTCGGGGTTCAGTCACCGTTTTATTCATTGGTAATTATGTGTATTAGTAGTAATTGTTGTGACTACAGAGCATATCCTATATTTCCGACCCGGTTGCTTTCCGATCCGAGGTCGGCTATGGACTCTAATTCACTTCCAACCTACTAAGGTGACCTAGAAGCATGGGGCTATCAACACTCCCTTCCTTCTTCTCTGCAACACAACGCCAAGTGTCCATGATATTCTGGACAAAAACTCCAAACTCCCGATACCATAATTAGCTCTATAAGCAAATCATGGTAATTCCCTAAGACACGCTCGTATGAGCGGAAGAATGAAAATAAACCACCGGGTATTCCTTTATCCTCCACAATCACCATTTCCCATGAGAGCTCACCCATTAACTCGATAATCCACATTACATCGCAGTAGTGGCATTCTCCGGGTGAAGAGATACCAGTCCGATCAAGTTTCCCTCAGGGTCAACAAACTCTCCAATATCCATGATGCATTGTCGAACGCCGTATCGCAACTGCTTGATCTCGCCGTAGTTATTTTCGACCAACGTCTCAGCGATACTAAGATCAGCCACTCGGATGTGGCATGCTGGTGTTACACCGCGTGCCATGGCTATCTGTCGCTTGTATTCGAGCTGAGCGCGGCTGTCTCCTGTGTTTCTCACTTGCATCAAGGCTCCTGTGATGCGAGATCCTCCGCTCTGGCTTGAGTTGAAGAAGTTCATGGGCTGCACGTCAAAGTGCGAAGATCCCCATTGCCTCTTATATGGGTCATCAGACTGTTGGGCGTTCACGTCCCCAAAGAACTTCCAGTCGAAGCAACGCGAGTAAAAGTTTACCGCTCTGTCTAAGTCGAAGCAGTACAGGAGGAGAAAGTCGGGAGTTCCTCCCACGCAAGACATATCTGCTCTTTCGCTTCCACAAGTTTCAGTTTGAGGGAGGGATGAAGGCAATAAGTCGTTGTCGTTTGCAATTCTTGGAGAACCGAAGGTTTCGAGGGACATGTTCTTGGCGGCATTTATGGGCAGCGAGAACGTTGAAGCAAAAGCTGGCGGCGTGGCCATCTCTGCTATGGGAGTGCTGAGAGCGTCATGACCCAGTGAGGGTACCGGCGATGGTGTTCTTCGATCTGTGTCAAGGTCCATGGCTGATGAGGAAAGTGTGAGAGATGGTCTTGATTTTGTGTATGATTCCATTGTTGACGAGTGGAAGTATTCTTGAAGTATACTGACTCGTTGAAATTCTTTAACAGAAGCGTCAAATGATTCAAGTACGGTTCAGTATTATGATAAATAAATAAAAAAGCGTGACGCGCCGCGAGGCAACAGTCTAACAAAAGGAGAGATATCCGTCGTGACTTAGAGACCAGGCCAGTGGACAAGGAACCAAAGCTATCTAAGTCATTCAACAATCAGATATATGATTTGCATGAGCAAGCCATAAACTCGTGGACAGGGTTACCTTGTTCTTATAGCCGCCTCTTGATGAACAAGAGGCAATTTCCGAGAACTCCAACGCAAACTCTCCTTACATGCTACGTGCCTTCAACTGCGTAAAACACCACAAAAGCAATGATTCGAGACTGAAAGCACGGAACTTGGCGTGGGTGCCATCTGGGGCTTGCCAGGCCAACTCAGGCTAAGTGGTATGGAGGTTAAGGCAAGGAGAAGGCAAGACATTCAAACACAACAAAACAAACACACAACAGTGTTACGTCAAAAGACCAATCGTTTAGGCCTAAAAGGCTAAAGACGTCAAGGGCGGAAGAAACCTGCAGCGACTAGGTCGCTTTGACAAGTAGGGGTTCTCATTCTGGAAGGCTAATGTATAGACGAGCAGAGCTACTGTAGAAGCTGCATTGTTGGTGTCTCGATTTGGCTGGTGTCAATCACCATAAACATAAACAAGCGTGTGTGTCTCGAGCTGAGCTGAAGTTGTGGTTGATTTTCAGGGCCTTGACTTTTTGTTGGTCAGTGTAGCGTTTGTGCTGGAATGGTAAACAACCCGAAATCCCACGTCTTCGCGGGATATATCATCAGACAATTGTCTCAGAAGAGTGCGTTTCTTAATTTACACACATAGTTGAGAGCGGTTAATCAACATGAATCCTCACATGTCTCAGTTTCGAACTGATGGCTTGACGATCACTGATCGTGAAGGTGAAGGATGGGTACCAAAGAAAAGGGCGAGAGAGTTGGCTGGTATCAGGTATCAGAGTGGACCTGAGCGTTCTGCAAGGCGTGCTCTATTTGGCGGGCATAAGCAAGGAGTTGTTTTAAGTGTGATCGTCTGAACGGTTGGAAATGTGCTTTACAGTAGTAGCTGCATAATTTATGTGCAGGGAAGAAATGGCGTGAGTTTTTCTAAAGGAGAACACGCGACGGTCGAGCCGGAGCAAAGGAGAGGAACGTTTGTAAGAAGGGGACAGTCGATGATTGTATTGACCCAAATCAATTGATGCTCGGATCCGAAAGTTCAGGATCCGATTGAGAATGCTTAGATGGATTTGGTGGAAATACGTACCGTTTCTGATAAGCTTCTTATCTCCCCGCAGATCCTGGCTTCAGAAAAAAAAATTACAGTATGAGAGCGGACCAAAGTCAGTAGTGGCAGCTTCAACACCAAGGAACCTCCAAACTGTCGATAATTGCCTTCCACCATCTGGCGCATAATTCAATCGTCATGGAGTCCAGTTCAAAGCGTCGGAAGCTAGACCACTCTGGATCTGGTCTGAGACACGATGCTCTCATTGATTTTGAGGCTCGCAGCTCTGCCAGAGTCTCAACTGCTA